CCCATGGAACTTTAACATACAAAAAGAGAAATGCCAAGGAATTGTTACGTCCCTTCTGGTGTAACGCAACACACAGGAAGTATACCACAACACCTATGACATATTCTTGGGGGGAAAAAAGTTTCAAATCTGAATCTGATCAAGGCTAGATCTAGGTACAAGTTCACCAGAGACAGGAGAACACAGGGACATATTAAATGACACCACGAGGACGCAGCCTGCCAAATCCAGAATGTGGAAAATTCTAAAGGACAAATTTGATAAACAGCAAGAAAGGGGTGGGGGAGGCTGTTATAGATTAAGAGAGACTCCAGAAACCTTTCGACCAAATGCAACGTGTGGACCACGTTTAGAAGCTGATTTGAACAATCCAATTATAAAAAAGACATTGATGAGGCAACTGGGGAGCTCTGATCATTGATTAGATGTTAACCAACTATTAGGGGTTTTTTCGTCTTTAGTATAATAACGGTATTGTAGGTTTTTTTTTTAAAAGAGAGTCCTTATTTCTTAATGATACACATTTGGTATTTACAGGTAAATTATACGATGTCTAGAATTTGCTTTAAAATAATCTGGAGGGGCCGGCCTGGTGGCGCAGCGGTTAAGTGCGTGCGTTCCGCTGTGGCGGCCCAGGGTTTGCAGGTTTGGATCCCAGGCGCGCACCTACGCACTGCTTGTCAAGCCATGCTGTGGTGGCATCCCATATAAAGTAGAGGAAGATGGGCACAGACGTTAGCCCAGGGCCAATCTTCCTCAGCAAAAAGAGGAGGATTGGCAACAGATGTTAGCTCAGGGCCAATCTTCCTCACACACACACAAAAAATAATAATAATCTGGAGAGAAACAGGCAGTACAGATGAAACAATATGTGCCATATATTAATAATTGCTGAAGCCGCGTGATGGATGCATAGGGGTGAATTATACAATTCTCTTTAGGTTTTTGTACACTTAAAACTTTTCATAATACAAAGTTTAAATTTAAAAAATTTAGGAGCCTGCCTAAGATCCCCAAATCCAATCAAGATGAGGCTGTAAACAGGCAAGAATGATAGTATAATGACTAAGTATAAAACCTCCCCAAGTGTTTTGCTTTCTCCTTCAAGAACATGCAGCACCAAAGCAGATAACTATGAATACCACACCAAAATACTGTCAACTTTTCACCATGGACCTTTCTCTGTTATTGTACATCCTTCACATAGTGATAGAGCTGTCTAATGTTACTAAAATATGCACATTTATAATAAATAGAGAATAAATTTCAAATGTAACAATAGTTACCATTCACTGAGTGGCTATTAGTACATCAGGCACTAGACCCTTTGCATACACTTCACCTAAATCTTAAAACTGGATGGGGCACATATCATTTCCATTTTACAGATGAGGAAAAGGATGTGAAGTGACCTATTCAAGATCACACAGTCAAGTTGAGGATGGAGCCAGAATTCAAACCTAGATCTGAGGCTAAGCCCAAGACCCTCATAGACTGCTGTAGACCAAACAGATTCTTGCGGGTTTGCATGGCTACCATGTCCTAAATACAATATCTGTGAGTACATATTTAATAATTTCAGTCCCTAATGAATGCCAGGTATTCTGTTAAGAGCTGTGGGGAATATACAAAGAGGAATGATACACACATCCTATTCTCAAAAAGGTTTCCGCTAGAAAAATATTTCTTGAATAGAAGATACATACATAAGAATGGAAAGTGATAAGTTCCAAAAGAGAGATAATATGAAGTGCCATGAGGATTCAGAAAACAGAGAGATTTCGAAATACAAGAAAAATATAAACTCATCAAAACACCCATTTTTAGGTTGGCTTGTACTAACCGACTGGCGTACTAAGTGGTGGTCATTTCTCTTTCTAGAGGAAAGAACACAAGGCCCAGCAGTGGAAGGCTAGGCTCCACTACAACTGGCATGGGGACTTGGGGCAAAGCCCTCAGCTGCCTCATTTAACAATAACACAGGCACTGATTTACAAGAGGTCATTTCTGTACCTGAAAACAGAGGGAAATAAAACATTAACTAAAAAAAGACCAAGCAGAATAAATTATCTCTAAGGTTCTTTCTTCCATCTATGTGAAAAATCTACTTGTAAAAGTCAATATAGTACTATAATTCTTAACTTACATTCAAGTTAGACCAAACATTCAAAATTAGTCAAGAGAAAAACAGCCCCTCTGGGGTCAAACTAGTATTTCTGCCGCATAAATGCAACATTTTCAGGTGGATTGAAATTTTACTCTGCTGCTTAAAATCCTCCAGCAACGCCCATGACCTATACAGTCTGGCCCATAGAGGGGACCTGTGAAGCCCCCTTGCAGTAACTGGCTAGGCACGTAGTCTAATCACATCTCTATACTCAGCCTCTGAGGCACCTAAAGTGTGTGGAGGAAAATATTCTTGAACACCTGTCACGTGTCAAGCAGTGCAGACATGATTTACATGAAAATGTAATCTCATGAGGACAAGGATTTTTGTCCATTATGTCACTGCCGTATTCCTAGCACCTGGAAGAGAGCTGGACACACAGTGGGTGCTCAATTAACATCCGTGAAATGAATTAATAGACAAGGTGGTCCCTGCCCTCATAACACTTAGCCTAAACTAATGCTGTCATAAGAATTTAGAAACAGATTTTTAGGTAATAAATACGAGTGTGTTTTATTTTTGTTGGTTTTTTATTTAACTTTTCATATATTAAACCCCGACCTGAGTAATTTAACAATATCTGACCTTAAAGATTCCCATAATTGGTGAACATGCTTAATAAATAAGACCAAATCAGATATTGAAATACTTTTCTGTAGACTTCATAAGATGATCAATAAGACAGCTTAACTATACAAAAGTCTTCATAAAAACAGTATTATTTAAGTGTATCATAAAATTTATTACAGTATAGTTAGTGATTATTCTTATCATACATAATATTTAAACCTCAACTTTCTTACCGAGAAGTAATATTTTCATGGATCCATCAAGGCCCCCCAAATCAGCATATTTCAAGAGAATCAATGAAATTAGAACATTAAACAGATAAGTTCTTTGGACATAAAATGTGGGTGGGAGGAGTTTAATAGGTATTTGATTAGAAGGGAACAGATAAAATCCACAAATTTATTTTTGGCCTTCAGTAGTATCAAAGCTTAAATTTTTTTTTTCATATTCTTTACTTAAAAGTTAAAAAAATAAAATTCAATTGAGTACCAGAAATATAACTGTATAAAAACCATAATAATAATAGCTGTGATTTATTGAGCAGTTACTATGTGCCACAAACACTATTTTAACAACCTTTTCTGTATTTTATCCTTTAATCTTTACAACTCTATTCCCATTTTACAGATGAGGAAACTGAGACATACAAAACTTAAATAACCTTCCCAAGATCACAGAGCTAACAGGACCAATAATTTAAATGCAGCCACTAACCGGCTCAAAAGACCTCACTTGATTGCTAATTCACTCTGCCTGTACTGTACTATCCACGCTATGCTATACCACAGCTATAGTTTCTGTGGCCTAAATCCAACTCTCAAGGTTAAAAAAAACACCTTTAAAAAAACGGTACAAGTCCCATCAATTTAGAACTTGATGATGAAATTACATTTTATAGAACAAAGGATTAAAATTTATTGCATTTTGAAGCCTTTTTCTCTTAACTGATTTTTGCTACTATAAAAAAGAAAAATACTGCTCAATTAACTAGTTAATTATTCCTTTGTATCCCTTCAGCATGAAAGTCCACATAAAAATAAAATTCTATCCAACCTGCCACAATAAGATCAGAATTAGCAAAGAGGTACAGGTACTTTGAGTGACCAGAAAGAAAACAAAAGCCCATCCTTTTAAAAGACTAAAAATATTTATATTTATCAAGAGTAAGAAAGACAGGATAAGTTAAAGTTGCAAAACTGCTCCCAAAATAGTAATATACTGAGTTCTCAGTAAGAATCAGAGCAACGTTCAAGTGCTTACACCAATCAATTAACTTCTGTGACTTTCCTGGGTATGAATGAAGAAAACGCTTACTGAAGAATGCCTGTACACACTGGTTCCCCATGAGTGTACGTATGTTTAGTGTGGTATGCACACAGGGCACCATCGGGAGATGAAAAGTTAAAACGGAGTCCCAGACCTCAGAAGGACTCCACGACTTTCCACAGGACTAGGTTTCAGGATGTTTCCCACAGAAAAAACATCAAATGTTAAGAAATTGGTGGTATTCTGGAAAACTTAATACTTACTAGGTTGGTTTCCTAAGATAACAGAATGTTCTCTATAGAAAGAACAGGGCAATTAAGGGGGGAAAAGTGGCATATTAAAATAACACTGAATAGAACACTACAAAAATTGGCCATATCTCTTTCGTGCTTCATGTTCAGCAGAATGGAGACCATGAAAACCCTTCTAGCACGCAGCCCTCTGCTCCTCAGGTGCAGCAGCAACCTAGACTTAGACCGTCTCAACAGTAAGGCACTACAACTTGTGGCTCAACCTCGGCTGGGCTCCTCTAATTGTTCATGGTCGGTATCTCTCTCCTTCTTCACCTCTCTCCCAAGGCTCCGACCAACCTTCTTCTCCACACTCGCAGCAGATGGCCTTGCCTGTGATCATTTTCTAGAATATACGCCCATGAAGGCAGGGCTCTTTGTTCATAGATGTGTCTCATACACTCAGAACAGTGCCTGACACATAGCACGTACTTGATAAATATCTGTTTGTTAAATGAAATAATGAATGAATTGAGGAAATGGAGTCTCCCAGCTAAGGAACTCCCTCCCAGTCTCCTGCCCTTTAACACACAAACTTAATCTAACCATTTCCTTCCTTATATTCTTACCTCCAGTCTGTGTGGAGGACAAGCCCGCTGCTTAAGGTTAACTACTCTACCTGTCCTCCAGATCACATTCTTTCCCATCTCTTTCCTCAGTAATTATCCCTCTCCACTGTAATTTTTTAAATACCCCTAACTATGGACTCCTTTCCCAAGGCCTAAAAAGAATGCTTAATCCCATTTTGAAATAAAACCAAAAGAACTTCCTGAACTCGAGAGCTTGCTGAAGCTACATTCTATTTCAGAGAAGCTTGGTCTTAAAGGAGATGTCTACACTTCTGGTCTCTGCTTCCTCAGCCTTCATTAGCACCATCACCCCATGGCAATTTGGCTTCCATCCCAGGCTGCTCAAACTTCTCAAGGTAAGGTCGTTAAAGGACCACTACCGACCAAATTTCATAGATACTTTTTGCCTCATTTGATGTTTCTGCTACATTTGATCCAGGCTATTTAATTCTTGAAACTCCCTTTCTTGGCTTTTTGACACGGTTCTCTCACTGTTTTAGCCTGACAGCTCTCTCAGCAACTTTGCCTGCCCCTTAAATGACTATTCCCCCCAGAGGCCTGATCTGCTCTTTTCTATAAATACCTTGAATGAGCTCATCCACATTCACAGTTTCAGCCAATACTTATATATTCTAATGATTCCCAAAACTCTATCCTCAACCCAGTTCTCTTTTCCTGAATACCAGACCTGGATATCCAACTATAAGACATTCCCCCATACATGGCCATAAATACATCAACTTTTACTCAATTTGTCATCTCACCTCGCTGCAAACTTGCTTCTCTTCTCTGGTTCCCTACCTCAATTAATGGTGACCAAGTCAATCCCTCTACCCTCTCCATCTATATAGTTCACTGTCAATGGCCCCAGATACTACTACTTAAATCTCTTTGAATCCAGCCCCTGTTCTATTTTATCTTAATCCAAGCCATTATTCTCGACGAAACTGTGGCAATTAACCTATTACACAATTAAATTTGAGGGCCTCCAAGATCCCCACCCATTTCTCACACACACATCCCTCCCCCAAGTCCAAAACTTCCTCCATATTGAGGCCTGAGTAGTTGATTGAAAACACAAGCATGGTAATAACTCCATCAGATTAAAATTGTTCCTTTGCTCACCTTTACTTAAAGCAATGGCCTCTAAACTAGGGTATAGGAAGAAGTTAGTTTTCTCCTCTTTCATTTCTATTTTTACATAGGTTTTATATTATATACGTATACACACACACACACACAAATAGGACATGTCATTTACAAATATAAACATATGAAGGAATATGCTCAAAATCTTTCACTGATATGAGTACCACATCAAAAATATGTGGAGACCACTAATCTAGAGGAAAAGTACAGTCCTCTAATTTGACACACAGTCATCATCTGGTCCTGGACTAACTTTCTAGTCAAATATACTTTTGAACTATACCCAAGTTATGCCAAACTACCTTAACTTTCTAACTAGCATATGTCACCTCTGAAGCTTACCTATGCTACCCCTCTCCAACAACCCCCTCACCCATTTTCCCTCTCCCCACTCCACTCCACCACCCATCAATTCTTGTTTGTTCTTTAAGGCTCAAAACAAACATAACTGCCTCTGTGAAGCTCTCTCTGACCTTCCCAGGTGGAGGTGGGCACTTCCTTCTCTGTGCTTTCCAACACAACGTGCATCTCTACTACAGCACTCAAATCACAGTAATGTAATTTCTTGTTTACATGGCTGTCTACTCATTTTTGTATTGCCAGTGCCTAGCATGACTCATGACACAAATTAAGTGCTTAACGTTTGTTACAAGTGCTCAAGAGGCACAGTGTTGGGGGATAAACTAGCAATACCATGGCTACCCAACACAGTTGAGAGACTCAGTGCTCTGCTTTGCTGAGGTTTGTTTTGGCCTGATGATCAATTTTAACTTTTTAATTTTAAGATGTGCTTACATCATGCATTGAGTTCTCAGGTGTTGGTAACAGGGAGAGATTTTTAGAAAGCCAACACTTTATCATCCACCAAATTCTTATTAGTTAACCATCAACAGTGTCAACACATTCTAAAAGATGCCTTACATAAATTCAGAAGCTACAGCTCAGTGATTCTGGTCAAACATGGCAAATTAATTGCACACATTGATCTTCCTTTTCTGAATTTCCACTAAAATGAAAGCGAAGAGAAAAAGAAGGTATAAACCCATAATACCAAAGAATAGAAGTGACACCAGTGTGTAAGTAATTTTAATACAGTTTTGAAAGATCTAGTTTTGAAAGAAGGAATAGCACCTGACTTGACAAAGCCAAGGAAACTATAATGTGTCTGCAAAGAGGGAACAAATAAGTGAACAACTTACTGGCGAGAATTTAGAGGAAGGGACTGCAGAAGAGGGTGTGAGGTCTGGGGCTGAAATTGAGGAGTTGATTGAAAGTTTAAAGGACAGAGCAACGAGAGCCTCCTTCCCTGGCCCCACCCTACACAGTCAAGCAACTACCTTTCCCACGAGTAGAAGATAAGAGGGGGCCTAAAACAGGAGCATTAAAAGAAAGGCTGCAAACTGAACCATGTCCCCTCAAAAACCCTCCCCTTCATGGGTTCAGATTACAGCAGGTAATATGCACCCAGGTATATAATGGAAGAATATACTTACCTTGCTCTCAGAATGCCAAGAGGTATATACACTGGAAGATCATTCTCTAGGGAAACTGAACAGTCTCAGAGAAAAGACCTACAATCTTAGAGAATAGATTTCTACTTAGTGACACCTGGGGACCGCCCAGGAAAAAGGCCAGTTCACCACCTAAATGCCTACCATGAAGCCCACGGGGGACAGGCCTCACCGAGTCACAGCGAGTTCCTAGTCAGCTTATCAGTATCTCACTGTTACACATGGCTGAGGATCACCAGATATTCCAGGAAAGTTTCCAACATGAAAGAAGAAACTAAACAAACAAAAAAGGAACACAAAAGAAAGAACAAAACTTCAAAACACTATAAATGTCCTCAAATAAGATATTATGAAAGAGGACCTGGAAATTTAAAAATATGTGGACATTAAAAATCCAATAGAAGTGTTAGAAGATAAAGTCAAGGAAATTTCCTTAGAAGGCAAAATAAAAAGAGAAAAATAGTGCATAAGACAAAAAGGAGGTTATTAGTTGACAAAAAATCCTAATAGTTCATAAAGAGGAGAGAAAATGTTTAAGATATTTTTTAAAAATAGAAGAAAATCTCCCAAACTTAAGAGAATTGACAGATTGAATGGGCCCAGCAGTTACCAAAAGAACAAATGTTAAAAACATAAAAAACAAAACATATAACAAAAAAATCTCACACCATGTCATCGTGAAATTTTTGAATAGCAGAGAAGGAAAAAAAAAAAAAGAAAATCCTAAAACTTTCCCCAGTGGGGGAAAAGTCACACATGAAGGAACAAGAATCAGAAACAAGCAGGCTTCAACAGGAAGACTAGAAAGGAGAAGACAACAGATCAGTGCCTTCACAATAATGAGAGGGAATTATTTCCTGTCTAGAGATCTAGACTCGATTACAGAGGAGCAGGGAGACACATATATTATGTCTCAAAAAAGTTATCTCCTACCTAGCCATTTTCAGTAACTACAGGTAAATGAGCTTCAGTAAAACAAAGGGGTAAGCCAAGAAAGAAAACTTAGTGTCCGGGAAACAGGAGATACAATGCCAAATATATATTTATTTAAGAGAAGGTCTAGTATGAGAACTACACCCGTGCCTAAAGACTAACCAGTCCATACTGGAGTAGGAGTGTAGAGGGCTACATAATTTTAAAAGTTAAAAAAAGATGGAATGGATACATTGATATTTGAGCATTTGGAAAATATCTATAGGTATGTGATGTGGTATAGTAGGCAGAATTCTAAGATGGCCCCAAGATTACTGCCCCCTGGTGGACACCTTCTGCGTAAAACTCTCCTTTGAGTGTTGGTAGAAGGGTTGAACAGGATGGGGTATGACACAGGTGATTAGGTCACTAATCAGTTGATTTCAGTTAATCAAAAGGGAGCTTATCCTGGGTGGCCCTGATTTATTAGATGAGTCCTTTGAAAGAAGATGAAGCACCAGGGAGGGGCTCCTCCTGCTGGTCTTGAAGACACAGCCTCTTTGAGTTCTATAGCTGCAAGGAAATGAATTCAGCCAACAACCACACGAGCTTCGAAGAAGACACTGATCCACAGATGAGACTCTAGTCCCAGCTGCCACCTTGACTGCTTCTGAGACTCTGAGCAGAAGACCCAGTTAAGGTGCCCAGACTTCTGACTCAGAAACTGTGAGATAAATGGGTGTTGTTTTAAGTCACTAGAATTGTAGTAATTTGTCACACAACAATAGAAAACTAATACTATGGTATGGGGACAAACTTAAGGATATTTAGGCAGAATAAACAACTTAGAAGGAAATCATACTTCCTCCAAAAGCATAAAACTTCAGGAGTCAAAGCAATGTCAGGTAGTTTTAAAAATAATACATTTAGAAATGCCAGAAAGCAGAAGTAACTCTCAATAAGAAATGGGCATAACTGGTAGGTACTGCTGAAAGTAATCAGGTTTAAAGAGATAGAGATCAGTTTCAAGTTGTCCTGGACCTTTTAGCTCATAAAAAAAACAGATAAGAGACTCAATCAGGGTTTTCCTCTCAGTTCAAAACTATAATTTTTATAAATTACAAGCAGGGCAAAAAAAAAAAAGCTTCAAGAATCAATGAAGCTTTTGAACGGACAGAAGTTGCTCGCATGTGTAAGCCTCATTTCTCAAATGCAATGACTCAAAGTAAGGTCCTTGCACCAGCCGCATCAGCATCACCTGGGGACCGGTTAGAACAGCAAATTCATGGGCCCCACTCCCAGACCCACTGAATCAAAAACTTGCGGTGAAGCCCAGCAATCTGTGTTTTTAACAAGCCTTCTAGGGGATCTGATGCAGGTTCAAAATTGAGAAACATTAATCTAATGTTAATTTCCGCCACTACTCTGCTATGCTTTGGTCTTCCTTCTTTAGTCAAGAGTTTAAGCACTTCCAAATTTCCTGTGTCTAACCTATTAGTACCATAGTCACTAGCACATGGTAGGAGCTCAAAAAATGTTTGCTAAATATATAATAATAAGGGATTAGACCTCAGATGTATTTATTTCACCAGATGGTCTTTAGGACACATTAGATATGAATGCCTTTAGGCAGGACACGTTCTCTTCACTTTCCCACAGGCCCCACCAATCCCTACTGCCTTCTTCCTCTATACATTCATATATTTTTCTGCCTAGCTAAAGACAGCATTAGAATTTGGGACTTCTGGGAAAAATAATTTAGAAAGAATAACAATTTTAAATCTGGATATGATATGGTCCAACCTTCTCTTACAAATTCTAGGGAATCAAGTAACTTACAGCTATCTCATGATGATTCAGAAATTGTGCAATATGCTACAAGTCATCCTTCCACTTGTGGGTCTCTTGGTCCAGCACTAAGCCCTACAAAAAGTGTTTCAAGATAACATCTCAAGCTTTCTTTTTCTGGTCTGAAATCTTCAGAGAAGTAGACCCTGCCTACTTAAGTATTCCAGAGGATCATGTGCCAATAACTACAAGGGCAGTTAACAAGGCTTTGACTGATGGAATTTAGAATTTAATATCAACTTTGGAAACTCTATACTAAATACGTGCAGTAACATCAAATCACTTAGGAGAAAGACTTCAGTACATTCAGAATATAACGTACTGAGCAGAGGTTTAACTACACTAAAATTAGAATGCAGTTTCTTTCAGTACCATCTAAAAGGAAAACAAGATACATTTAATGAACTCACCACTAAGATACTAAACTTGCCCTAAATTAGAATTTTTTTTTAACTATTAGGGGTTAGAAACCCCTCTCTAAGTGAGTCTCTCTATATGTGAGCATCTACTTAGGATCCCCTAAACTAATCCCCTAAGCAGCTCAAGCATCTAGACCTAGCACACGTCTGCCGCATCACAGATGCATAACCTCCCATAAGTCACATTTTCCCTTTGAGTCTGTCTCCTCATCCATAAAAAGCGGGGCTTAGTATGAACACTCTGATAACTGACAGCAGAACCACTCCTCACACTTAAACAAGAAACCATTTTTGCTATCATTAGAGTAACTACTTCTCTAGCCAATTTTGAAAAGAAAAATGAAATAAAATTTAAGATAAGCAAACTGATACAAACACATCAGCATCTATAACAGTGACTGAGCCTGATAACTTTGTACTGCAGATATTAGCATTTTCTAAATCCCCTCACCCTTAAAACCCAAGAGAAGGTCTAAAACTTAATATATTCATCACAGAGAAACTAAAAGATTCAGAAAGATTCAAAAAACAAAATTTCACAATTATACCTACCAGAAATATACATGGTAGCACTTCAAAGAATTTCCTTCACACCTCTTTATGCATACACAGAATGTATTTTATATAGTTGAGGTCACAAAGAATATACAATTTTGCATCCTGGTTTCTAACTGACCCCTGCACCATCTTTGAAAACATTCTTCAGGCTAGCTTCCTACCATATAATAGCCTATAGTTT